AAAGTGAACCAAACATACTCCCACCTCACAACCAATCTGTCGAGAAAGAGAGCTAATAGTCAGTAATGATCATACCAATGTAATAATAATTTCTTACATCATGGTAGTGTTTTATGGACCTGATTCTTGCTTTATTTGATCCTCATATCATCCTGGGAGGTAGAAAGGATAAATATCATCGTATCCCCTTTCACAGATGGAGAAACCGAGGTCTAGAGTCCTACATATTAGAACAGAAATTAAAGTGAAGTCTTACTTCCATTGCAATCCTATAAATGATTAGAATTTACAGAGACTATTCATGGGGTTCTGCCTCTGAAGACTACCAACTGAGGTTATTTTGTAATAATATAATTGATATTTTTAGTTCCAGTAGCACAGTGAGTTTTGGAGTCAGTAAAGGTCAGTAAATCTTAACCAAGCAGAATTTGTATTATTGCATATAGTATTCAGAAGTGATGTAATTGAACATAAGCCTTGAATTAGAAAAACAGAAGTTTATTGAATTAATTGTACCCATATTTGGACAGATAAATATGTGTATTACATTCTAAGTGATAAATCTCTTTACCTTTTATCTAGGATCTTATTTATAATTGCACAACTCCCTAGGAGATAAAAGCTAGATTCTATCAGAAACCTATTTCCTTTTCCACTCAGTTGTATGGCATAACATCCTATCCTTAACTGAGATACACTCATTTTGGATGTCTACTTTGGCAGGTCCCTTGTGGGGTGGAGGTTGGGATGGGGGTAAAAATTAATGGGAAAAGAAATTAGGCTGCCAGCTCCTGCCATGCCCCTTCAACTCAAATCAGCTTGCTATTTCCTCTACATGTCTTCAGCCAGCATATGGCAAAAACATCAGTTCATTTTTTTTCTTCTCTTCATGAGTGAATTGAGGTCATCTCTTGTGCAGTAATTATTCGGTAAGGATTATTCTGTAGGATGATTTGATTTCCTATTGTCTTGTCTACTCTTGTTCCCACCTATATTTACATCTCATTGACTCTGAAGAATAATGTCTTACTCAGCTCCATTCCATCTGTTCATGTATATAATGAAGATTCACTTTCTAAAGTGTTCCATTCCTGAATCTAAGTCTCACCCCAGCAATCTCACTTATGTACTATATGACCTTGGCCAAGACAATTACATCCTCATTGGCTTCGGCTTCCTCTTCTAGACAAAGGGGATAATTATAACTGTTCCATTTATTAATATGCTCTCAAAAATCGCAAAGATCGCAGGGATCATTGGAATGTATGGATTTAATCTTCATGGCTATGCATTCACACATAATCTCTGACATATTCAATAGATTGTCATTTTGAATTAGTGGATGTTTAAGGATTATACCCGAGATAGTCACTCAGAGTGCCTGAGCACCAGCACTGTCCAATAACTAATTTGTTCGGTTTTATAGTACCCTTCTCATCAGCAAAAATTCACACTGAGCAATGGAGAAACTTTGTTTCTTTCTTAAAAATGGACACCTTAAAAAAATTTAAAAAATAAAAAAAAATGGACACCTTAGGCCAAAGCAAGCCATATGCAAGTGTTGTTGGAAAAAATGAATACAAAGTAAAGAGAGCTAAGAAAATAATAATTATTACTCAGAAAAATTAAGTTTTAAATATATTAAAGAGCAGAATCTTGAATTTATCCATGGTTAATGACACTCTTATGTCAAAGACTGCCATATTTATTGACTCTAAAAGAAGAAAAGGTGATTGAAGAAAGTCTTTCACCTAGTGCTTTAGCCACTGCAAATATGGAAATTTGGGTGGGGGGACTATTTGTTAAAGTACTTTTGTAACTTGAAAGATTCCAGATGGGTTTCAGATGTATCTCTCTTGAATGTTAAGAACCCGCTATATAAGGCAGTGTGGAAATGCTGGGCATGTTATTATGGTCCCACCCAATGAGATAATGCTGATCATACAGAAACTACTTTTAAAGATTTTTTTTTTTACTGCTACATAGAAAGACTATTTTAAATCCTCTGAGTTCATAATCCATATTTCTAACCAAGGAAATAGTAAGCAGTTTAAATGATCCCTAAGTATTTGTTTAACACTGTTGACTAAAGTGACTACGATTGTATAAATGCTCCTGTCTTTTAATTTATCTGTTTTTTTTTCTATGAATCTATCCTAAGAAAATAGTCCAAAACATAGAGAAATGTTTATTCATTACAGTATTTACTACACATTTTATGTAGTGAAAAGCTATTGGATATGATCTAAATGACCACTATTAAGACGTTTACATTATGGTTTAAACATTAAAGAAAAATGTTGTCATTTAAAATGATGCTTTAGCAGACCTTAATTAAAGTGGAAATTCTATGACAAAATATTTTAAAATTCAAAATAAAAATCCATTTGACCATTTTATTTCAACCATGTAAAGAAAGATGTGTGTTGATAAAAGTCTGAATGTAAACCTGTCAAAATACAATGGTTTTCGAATATGGGAATGAAGACCTTATATTTGATGGACTTTCCAGTTTCTCTATGATGTATACATGTCAGATTTACAGTCAGGAAAAAAAGCTGAAGGAAATTTTTAAATAATCTATCTCTCTTAAAAACAGCAATATTATCTGGAGGAATGATGAACAAACAAAACACTACCCAATATCAGAAACTGGAATCGTTATTGACAATCCACAGCACCTGTGCCCTACTGGCCTGTAAATGTCTCCCAGCTTCTTGTCTGCCACTTATGACATGTTTGTTTACAATGTTGGAATGTTTCCATAGTTAGCAAAGCAGAAATTACAATATCAAGAAGGAAATTTGCAGATGCTTCTGTTACTATCCAAAGTAGTTATTTATTTACATATATTGGACTAACTAGATACTAGGTACTGTGTGTGTTAGGGGCTGGGGAAATCAGACAGGATGAGTAATGCATTTTACAGTCTACTGGTAGAGCTACATGTGAAGCAAATAATCATTTAACCTGAAGCTAGAAGGATTAGTGAGTGTGAACAAAGCCAAACTGAGGTCTAAGTCAGGCATGGGGCAGTATATGCAACAGCCCTGGATGCAAGAAGGTAAGAACCAACTATTCTCCAGTATCCAATCTCCCTTTTCTTGCCTAGTCACAGAGGATTCTGCTGCTCAGCTCCTTTAGCCGGGCAGGGCAATGTGATTAATTCTGTCCACTAAAATGGGAGCAGAAATGACATCCAGCAATCTCTCTTGTCCCTGACCTTTAACTGAAGAGGTCCTGGAGGTGCCTGGGTGGCTCAGTTGGTTCAATGTCTGACTCTTGATTTCGGCTCAGATCATGATCTCAGGACAGTGAGATGAGTCCGAGTCAGGCTCCATTCTCAGCAGGGAATCCGCTTGAGAGTCTCTCTCTCCCTCTCCCTCTGCCCCTCCCCCACCACTCATGAATACACGCATGCCCACTCCCTCTCTCTCTCTCTCTCTCAAATAATAAATAAATAAATCTTTAAGAGGCCCTGTGTTCCAGGTTACAGGATCATGCCTCCATCACTGAATAACCACATGGAGAGCAGTAGTCCTGGAGAGTTGCTTGGACCCACAGCAGATTTTGCATTGATAAGAAATAATTATTGTGCTCAGCTGCAGAGAATGTGGAGTTTTTTATTTCTTGGATAATTCACCTATCTTGTCTTAAACAGAGACTTTCTTTCCTTCCTTCCTTCCTTTCTTTCTTTCTTTCTTTCTTTCTTTCTTTCTTTCAACTAAAAGGGGCACACAGAGAGAAATTATCAGAATGTAGGGCTTGATCTCTCAACCCTGAGATCATGACCTTAGCCAAAATCAAGAGTTGGGCACTTTAACAACTGAGCCAACCAGGTGCTCCTTAAACAGGGATTTTAAAGATCAAAATAGTATGATTTAATCAAGTAGAAGGGATGTACATTTGGAAATAAGTGTTAATTGCCATTGTCAGCTATGGCTGACATGGTTATTGCATGGTCCTGGTAGGGATGCATTCCCCAGCATTATCAGCTGGTACTCACTCTTCCCTTCTTGATTCGCCCCATGACCTGTCTCTGGAGCATTTTTTTTCCCAGCCCCATTTGTTTAATTTCTGGTCAAACCTCCCTTGTTGCAGTTTTCTTTATAGTATACTTCATAATAGACTACCACCAATCCCTAACAGCTCTATCTTTGAAGTCTCCTCTAGTCAATGTAAAACTCAAATTTTAATACCTGGTATGAAGTTTCTTTGCTTCACTTTTCTAGAACACTGTTCTCAAGTCTATTTGCCAAGTACAAAATAAATAACTTAAAGAGAAGCTACAGGAAAGACTACCATGTTGCAACATAGTCAACTCAACTCAGAATAGTATAGTGGAGAGGTGCCTGGCTAGCTCAGCCAGTAAAGCCTGCAACTCTTGATCTCAGAGTTGTAAGTTCAAGTCCTATGTTGGGTGTAGAGATTACTTAAAAATAAAAAATGTTTAACAAAAAGAGTAGTACAGTGGAGAATATCTATGGTATGCTACAAAAATGTGCCTTGCCATGAGTGCACATTACAGTCTGCTGAGTTAGTTTTCATTGTTTAAATATATAATAATAGTTAACATTACACAGAGCTTACCATGTGTTAATAGATTAGAACAGAACAACCACCTCCACCAATCATGCAAAATTGGGAACTTTAAGAACTATGTCCAATTTCAACTTTAAAATGTCTTAGGACTCACATAGCAAATCCTTTTTCATTAAGAACTTCATGGCACAAAAAAAAAAAAAAAAAAAAAAAAAAGAACTTCATGGCACTTACATCAACCACTTTAAGAAATTAACCAATCTGAAGACTGTTCCCATTTAAGATATCCTAAAGCCAAACAGTGAACAATAGAAACTGAACAGTCATTTCCTCCAACAAGATGCCATTTCAGAACTGAAATGTTCTCCCTTGTTTCTATAATTCATAGAGTTTTTTCATTTATACTGTAACTGGTTTCTTTATTTAAAGAGGAGCTTCACACAGTTTGGAGGACTTACCAAGTTTCAGCTCTGACTTTCCTGCCATGGCCCAGGACCACCAATCTAGACATCTTCTGTATGCATCCTCATGGCCTTGCTGGTCTCTTCTGCTTGGGGTTCCTGGGCTCTGCTGGAGAGATGAATTATTTGTTGGATCTAAAATATTATTTCATTGCAGCTTCCAAAACTTAAAAAAATATATTTTTTCCTGAGGAAATAATATTTTATTCATTTATGTCTTGAACTTTCTGATGAGATCTGTGCTACAAAGAAATTTTGGTGAACAAAAATTCTTGGTGATAATGTGTTTCCTCTCTTCAACTCTATCGTGTTATATCTTCTCATAAACATTATTAATTGATTAAAGGGAAGACAATATAGAATGATAAACAAAGTCTAAGTCCATGACAAAAACTGGCACCATGGTCTTCTGCTTATGGCCAAGATGGACTAACAGATACCAGATTCACTCTCTTGCCTGAAACAACCACAACAAATAGACAAAATATTTGAGAGAAACAAATTTCAGGATCCTGGCATCAGGTGAGAAACACCAATACCAATGGCTGAGAAATGAGGAAGAAATCAGGTGAATCCTATGATTTCCTTAATTTATGGCCTTAAGGAATTTCCAGACTACACCACAGAAAAAAAAACCCAGAAACTCAAAGCCGACTCCCTGCATTGAGGAGATAGAGTCTCGGGAAAACAAGGTGGCTAGAGTTCACAGGGCAGAGTACTAGAGATTGCTGCCAGGAAAGAACTACCCAAAAGGATTAGAACTAACAATAGTTGGTGCTCACCCAGGACTGGGAATAGTGCCTGTTCCCACTAGCAAGACTGAAATACTTCATAATTCACAAGCCATTTGGTAAAGCATCTTGCTTCAGTAGTGTGGAATAATTAACCCTAGACTAAACACCGCACTAGGACTGCTGAACACATCTTCAAAGCAATTTATGAAAGAATCAGACTTTTTTTTGGTAACTTAACTATATCCCAAAACAATGCTTGAGAATATTTTTACTGATATAAAAATATCCAGCACAGAATGGGAAAAAATCTGCAATGTCCAGCATCCCATAAAAGGTTATGAGGCATGCAAAGAAACAAAATACAACCCTTAATGAGGCGGACAGTCAATCAATTGAAAACAAACAAGATGTTAAAATTAGCAGACAAGGACATTAGAACAGTTATGTTTTCCATATGATCAAAAATTAAGTACAGATATGGATGACATAGAAAAGACCTAAATCAAACTTTTAGTGACAAAAATTTAGTGATGAGATGAAAAATAAATCAAGTGGAATTAAGAGTTAGAAAAAAAGTAATCAATAAGATGTTTCACAGCAATGTGAATATACTTAGTACTATTGCGCTATATACTTAAAAATAGTTAAGATGGTAAATTTTATGTGACATGCTTTTTTTTTAGCACAGTAAAAATTATCTTAAAGAGTTAATTAGAAATTGCAGAACAAAAATGCTTGAAGATACAGCAATAGAAACTATCCAAAAAAAAAAAGAAAAAAAGAAACTATCCAAAATAAAGCAAAGAAAGAGAAAAAAGAGTATCAGTGAGCTGTGGACAACTTGAAGATACCATACCTGTACATATGTAATAGAAGTCTCTGTTTGGTTTGAGGGTGACAGAAAGAAATTTGAAGAAATAATGGCCAGTAATTTTCCAAATTAAATGAGAACTATATATCTGCATATCTAAGTTCAATGAATCCAAGACACAAGATTTAGGAAAAAGGATACACCAAAGCATATCATAATTGGCTTTTTCTAAACCAGTGATAGAAAATTATAAAAGCAGGGAAAAACAGAAAAACCTGTTAAATACAGAGAAAAAGAGGAATGATGGCAGATTTCTCATAGGAAACAATACAAAGAGAAGACAATGAGGCAATATCTTTAATGCATTGTCCAAAAAAAAAGAAGAAAAGAAAGAAACAGAAAACCTGTCCACCTAGAACTCTACACTAAGCAAAATGTCTTTTAAGAAATTAGGTGAAATAAAGACTTACAGATGTACAAAAGCTGAAAAAAAATTCATCACCCACAGACCTGCTATATAAGAAATGTTAAAGGAAATTTTTCAGGCAAAGTAAGAGGACAAAAAGGAAAATGGAAGAACTGGATCAAATAGAAAACAAATGTCAAAATGATAGACTTAACTAGATTAATAATCACATTAACTGTAATTGTCAAAACATCCCAGTTAAAAGGTAGAGCCTGTCAAATCAGATTTTCAAAAAAAATGTAAGAGCCACCTATATGCTGCATGTAAGCACTGCATAGAAAAGGATAGAAAAAGATAATACCGTGCTAACCCTAATTAAAAGAAAGTTGGAGGGACTATATTAGTATCGGGCACAATAGAATTCAAGCAGAGTACTATCAGGATTTTTTTAAAGGTTATTTCATAAGGAAAAAGGGGTTAGTCCATCAAGAAGGCATTAAAAAATCTAAATATTTATATAACTGATAACAAGATAGGTGAAACAGAAACTGATAGAATTACAGAAGTGGACTATTTAGAATTACTAGTGGACTAGTCCACCACAGCTGGAGATTTCAATATTCTTCTCTTAAAAAAATAGAAAATCTGTAGTCATAGAAGAATTAACAACATAATCAATCAACTTAATAGGATATTTATACAACACTCCAATTAACAAAAGCAGAACATGCCTTCTTTTTAAGTGCACATGAAACACTGACCAAGATAGACCATATTCTGGGCTATGAAAAAGTGTCTCAATAAATTTTAAAAATTCAAGCTATACAAAGGATGATCTCTGACCATAATATAATTATTAGAAATTAATGACTGGAAGATCTCTAGAAAATTTCAAATATTTGGAAACTAAAATGACACACTTCTAAATAATCCATTAAACAAATGATAAATCAATAAGAAAATTAGTATTTTAAACTGAGTAAAAATCAAAAGAAACTACTTCCAAATTTCTGAGATGTGTTTAAAATAGTACTTAGGGGAAATTTATAGAATTAGAAAGTGAAACCCAAGTAACAGAGAGAAACAATAAATCAGATCAGAGAGCAATGAAATAGAAACACAAATCTAGCTGAGAAAATAAATGAAACAAAAATCTGGTTCTTTGAGAAGATCAATAAAATTAGAAAATATCTAGCCAGACTAATCAGTGAAAAAAGAAAAGAGTAAAAAATTATCAATATCCACAAAGAGATGTAATAACAGTCTAGATTCTACAAATATTAAAAGGAAAATAATGTAATATTATGAAAAACCTTATGCCAATAAATTTGACAACTTAAAATAAATGGAAAAATTCCTTGAAATACACAAACTTCAGAAAAAATAGGTAACCTGAATAGCTTTATATCTCTCAAAGAAATTCAATTTGGAGCTAAAAACTTTCCCACAGAGACACTTTAGGCCTTGGTATTTTTACTAGAAAAATTTACCAGACATCTAAGAAAGAAACAATAGCAATCACACACAAAATATTGCAGAAGGCTGATGAAGAAGAAGGAGTACTTCCCAACTCAGTCAACAAAGCATTATCTTAAAAAAAAGACTACAAGAAAAGAACACTACAGAGCAATACCTCTGATGACGTAGACGTAAAATTACTCAACAAGCATTTTAGCAAATTGAATTCAAAAATATGTTAAAATGCTACCATAACCAAGGAGGAGGGAATTATCCTACAAATGCCACAATGTTTACCATTCAAAAATCAATTAATGTAATTCACCACATCAACAAACTAAAAAGAAAAAATACACATGATAATTTAATTAAATGCAGAAAAAGCATTTAACAAAACCTGACTCTCAGTCCTAATAAAAGTTCACAGCGAGGGAACTTTTTCAACCTAATAAAGGGAAAAAGGACATTTATGAAAAACCTACAGCTAATTTCATTCTTAGTAATGAAAAACAAATGTTTTTCCCCTATGATCAGAAATAAGACAAAGATGTCTACCCTCTCCACTTAAACTATCATTTTACTAGAGATTCTAGCTAGTGCAGAAGGCAAAAAGAAAAAAATAAATAAATGAAAGGTATCCAGATTGAAGAGGCAGAAGTAAAAGTCTATTTACAGATGACACGATTGTCTGTAGAAAATCTTATGGAATCAATTAAAAGCTACTAGAACTAACAGTGGATTCAGCATGCAAGAAAAATATACAGAAATCTGTTGAAGTTCTCTACACTGGTAATAATCAGAAATTTTAAAAAACAATGCCACTAACAACAGCGTCAAAATGTGAAATAGGGATAAGTCTAACATAGGATATGAGAAACTTATACAATGAAAACCGCAAAACATTGCTGTGAGATATAATAGAACTCCTAGAAACATCAAGTGATAAGACCATGTTCCTGGGTTGGGAAAATTCAATATTGCTAAGATGCTAATTCCCCTCAAATTGATCTATAGATTCAATATAATCCGTATTCAAAACCCCAGCAGACATTCTTGTGGAAATGGCCACGTTTATTTCAGTACAAAATGTAAAGGACATACAAGGAACTGGAATAGCCAAAACAAATTTGAAAAAAGCACAAAGTTGGAGGACTCTCACAACCATATTTCAAGACCTAATACAAAGCTACAGTAACCAAAATGGTATGTGTTTAGCATAATGACAGACAAATGCATTAATAGAACAGAAGAGTCCAGAATAGAGACCAACAGGCACATGGATAACTGATTTTCAACATAGGTGCAGAGGAGACAAAATAATCATTTCAACAAATACGCTGAAATAATTGGATAGCAATGTGCAAAATTATGGACTTCAAACCACACATTTCACTATGTATACTAATTAAGTCAAATGAGATCATAAATCTAAATCTTACAACCCTGTGACTTCTTTTTTTTTTAAGATTTTATTTATTTATTCCTGAGAGACACAGAGAGAGATAGAGGCAAGACACAGGCAGAGGGAGAAGCAGGCTCCATGCAGGGAGCCCGACGTGGGACTCGATCCTGGGACACCAGGATCAGCCCTGGGCCAGAGGCAGACGTTAAACCACTGAGCCACCCAGGGATCCCCTATAGCCCTGTGACTTCTAGAAGAAAACAGAGCAATATCTTTGTAATCTTAGGTTTAGGCAAGA